CCATTTTTAAAGGACTGGAGTCTTCTCACATCTTTAATCCTCCCCCCCTCTGAGATTTACTTTAATTTCCTCATTTGAAATCTCAACTGGAATTCCCCAAATCACTCCTTTTTTCCATTTACGACCTTCTTCAACAATGCTCACACTTGTTACTTTATATTTTCCTACTTCTTTCATCTTACAAGCTCTTTCTTTTTGCTCTTTTGTATTACAAATTATCATCAAATTTCCATCTCTCAAGATCTTTGCWTTAGCAATTTCACCCACTTGATKTTTTAGAATGGTTGTTAGTTTAACTGGRTTAATCGATTTCACACCATTCTCCTCGTTAAACCTCACAATTACTTTGAACTCTTWTACCTCCTCCTCCATTTCTTCTTCAGATTCGCCCCAATTTGTCACCACTTTTCCTTTCTTTCTTGATTCTGCAGCCGCAGAAGAATTTCCTCTTTTAGAACTCATTTTTTCACTAKCTGAAGAATCACTAMTCCCGTATTCCTTATTTACTATCCCCCCTCTGGCCCATTCACAGTACAGCTGTGCCTACCCGCCGTTGATTTTGTCAACAAATCTTTCACCACTCCCCCAGATCTTCCAATAGCGTCTTGGATDTTCTCTCGATGCCGACCTCCAGATCTTCGTAGTGATTTTATTTCTCTTTTCCTTTCTCTTTCTTCATCTTCATCTTTAGCTTTATAATTCTTAACCATTCACCGTTCTCCAAGTAGTAAAATGTTTGGTTTCCGCCCACCTCTCTCCAGAGCCGTCTGAAAGACCCACCAAACTCCAACAATAAGACTGAGACAGGACAGGGTTTAAATACACAGAAAACTAATGACTAAACAGAAAACACCTGAGGAGAAACGCAAGGGTGACAATCAGACTAATAAGGAGCAGCTGGGCAGAGACACACTGGGGAACATAGAAAACACTAGGAAAACCAAGGAGAATGAATACAGACTATGACATGCATGGACCTCCTCTGGAAAACCACATGGGTGGGCAGCAATGTATTGTGTAGGCCAGACATATTCTAGTTGTTTTGATGTAAATATGTTTAAATTCTTATAAAATTTTACCCACTGTTATAATAATTCCAAAGGAGAGGAGCAGAACAGGTGGAGGCCCTGCTCCCCATGGTGGAGAGGCGGGCAGTGGGTACTTGGAGGTTTAGGGAAGAAGAGGATCGGAGAGAGCGGGAGGGGATGGAGATGTGTACGAGGTCGGACATGTAAAGAGGGGCAAGATGGTGTATAGATTTAAACGTGAGAAGCAGAATTTTGAAGACGATGTGTGATTTGACCAGGAGCCAGTGGAGCTGCTGCAGGACTGGGGTGATGTGGTTATGGGAGGAGGTTTGGGTGATGACACGTGCAGCCTAGTTCTGCACCATCTGAAGYGTRTGGAGGGATTTGTTGGGGAGGCCAAAAGGAGAGAGTTGCAGTAGTCGATCTGTGAGGTCACAAGACTGTGGACRAGGAAGGCTGTGGTGCGGGGTGTGAGAGATGTACCTGAAAGATTGTTGCTGCAGCTATTTGAACTAGTCAGTTTTTTTTTCATCATTTATAAAATACCATAGAACTGCGTTTAAATATTAACTAAAGCAGAGTAAAAGATCTATAAAATAGAATCCATGTGCACCGCTATTACAGTTTATAGATTGGAGCTTTTTGAAGACAGCAGCCTCTGGTCTTGGCTCTTTGAAGTCGTCCTGTTGAACTCTGTTTCTCCAAACTGAAACTGTTCCAGAAGATTTCTGTGACAAAAAAGATTTTATTTCTTCTTAACCTTTACAGTGAAACCCATTTCAAAAATCACATCATGCCTCATTGTTCCTCTTTAATTAATGAGCTCAACAGAAAAAAGGTGGTTTTAGACAGCTTTATTTTGACTTTCCAACAAAGGTTTCTCCTCCTCTTCCTCAGATGTTTTGGGCTCGGGCTCCAGCATTTTGTTCCAGGTGTTATTAGCTTTATTCAAATAAGACTGGGCTTCTTTCTTCACAGCTTTCAGTGTCTTCTGTGCTGCTTCCTTTGGTGTCTTCGCTCCCTCAGCTTCTTCCTTTCCGATTATAGCACCTTTGAGTGCTCCTGCTGCAGAAACGCCWGTTGTAACTGCAATTGGTACCGTTGCTAGTAGTCCTGCGACGCCCCCCACTAACGCTCCTCCGATACTTCCTGCTGTTAGCATTGCCGCCGCCGCCGTGGCTGCGGCGCTCTTTAGTTGGATTGGCTTCTGAGGGTCTTGTGTGTTCAGGACAGCTCCAACCATAACGACCACACCAAAGATAGCCCCTAACAACACGCCTGTTCCAATCCCTGCAAACCTGATCAAGAGTTTTTCAAAGACTTTGACTTTAGCGCTCTTTCTGGTGTTCGCTTCTGATGTGTTTCCTAACAGTCGAATGTTCTCCTCCTCTTCTTCTATTTCTTTTTCCACTGCTTGCAGCATCTCATTGGTGTAGCAGTTTTTGTTGTTTGCAACCACCAAGGTGTCTAATGTTTGAAGTAGACAGTTCACCTGGAACCGATTGTTCCTGTACGCGTCCTCTTGGTTATTGTTCCAGTATTTGTTATCGATGATGTGGCAGCGCTCGCCGCACCTCTTCACCAGCTCACTCACCAGCTTGTTCTGACTCACAAACTCCTGGATGTTCATCCCATCAGGAAGCTGGTCACCATGAGTGAAAACCACCACAGCGTACTTCAGGACATCGTTGGTGAAGTACGTGCAGATCTTCTCGACAACAGCCTGCTCGTGCTCCGTGAATTTCTCCGCCTTCAGCACGATGAGGAAGGCATGGGGCCCAGGAGCGCACTCTGTGATACACCTCACTATCTCAGGCTTCAGCTCCTCCTCGGGCCTGTCGGTGTCGAAGAAACCAGGAGTGTCGATGACCGTAAGGTTTCTTGCACCAACAGACGTGGTCATGGCTTGACATTCTTTTGTTTCGGAGTTGATGGAGTGGTTTACTGGGAACACCTGCTCTCCAAATATGGTGTTGGCCAGGCTGCTTTTCCCAGCTCCAGTTTTTCCCAAGAGGACCATTCTAACATTTTCAGTTCCTGAAAAATAATAACATCTATTAATATACTTTGCATGTGTCTTTTTATTATATAGTTTGATCATTTTATATCCTCTTCACACAGTTATGAAGTTTTTTTTAATGATTTAGCATTTGTTAAGCTATTGAAGAAATTTATAGTTTAGTACTGATTAAATACAACACAGAGTTAGGGTTTTCTATTTTATAATACCTTTATAATGTTTGTTATATTTCTTACAATGTGTTAATTGAAATAGTGTAGATACATGTCCGAATATAACAACACATAATTAAAGCTGTATTAACATTAGAGTTGAGGGCTGTCTGTAAGAATGCCTGTGATTCAGCTGTAGGCCAGCAGGGGCGAACTCGGGCATTGAAGCTCCTGTATTTATTGGCCGACTTCCTGTTTGGACTCCAGTGTGTGGGTTGACTCGCCAGCTCATGGCTGAATAAACCCCCACTCCAGAATTCTGATGTTGTATGGCATTTATTTCTTATCACAGATCATTTTATTTAACACTTGTGTTTTCACCTGACTTCAGCCGTTATTGAACACGTATTTTCTTACACTATTTTACTAATCATATAGTAATTTTATTTGTTTAATGATGAGATGTATGACCCAATGTGACACTTTATAATAAAGGTATATTTCAGCTTTATGAAGGTAGCCAGCTCTTTGAACAGCCTCAGTTTGGAAAAAATGAAACCATGGTGCGTTCCATTTCAGACTCGAGTCATTTTTGAGCTCTTAATCAGAAAAAAGCAACTGGACTGCCCCATGAAGTTGAAATACCTATTTGGTACTTGTATTAGACGTTTCTATCCAACCAAGGCACTCAAAGCACTTTACGCTACAAGCTGTGTCCACATTTACCCACACAACCCTGACCTTTTAGCCAACCCAAAAATGGAGTTCCACATTATTAGGACTGCTCTTTGGTCCCCAAAAGGACCATTTGCCTTGACAAGGTAGGTGTGTATACCAGAAATGGTCCTAAATAAGGTAAAAAATACAAGTACACACATACAACTCTAGGTCTCTACAAAGCTAACATGTACAAATCATCCTATGGAGACTAATCAGTGTTTTAAATCACATTCATACACTGATGGGACATACATCAGAGACAATGAAGGTCAGTGTTTTGCCCAGGGACACTTCAAATAGCAGTGGGATTGAACTGCTAGCTCTCTAACTTAGACTCCCTTAACCACTCAGCCAACAGCCACTCGTGTATAAAAAGTAGAGCTAAATGCAGTTATAAACTTTATTTTCTTCTTCTTTATTAGGAAACATATTTCTACAGTATTTGAATCTAGAAAATAAAAATAACCCAATGTTGTCAACTTGCATTATTGTTAATACTTAAAGCCTCGTCAGTAATTGTGCCCTGTGGCACAGCCTAAGCTTTTAGTGTTCATTACTTTTACTTAAGTAGTTTTAAAACCATTACTTTTATACTTTTACTTGACTTGATACTTCTACTTCCAAAAAAGTATTTTTAAACCCTAGTATCTATACTTCTACTTAAGTAATGAATGTGAATACTTTTGACACCTCTGGGTAACAGGAAGGCAACATTAGCTCTGACTGGACTGACAGGAAAATGGCTAAATGTAGCAGAGCCAAGACCAAAGTGCACTGCTGACATCTTAAAACAACTTCAGTCTCAAGCATTTACCTGCAATTCATCCCAGTTCAGTTTTATAAACCTTTTTACAACCATCAGTCTCATATCACACAGAAAAAAATTATCCTGTATGCTGTTAGCCAAATATTCAAAAGGGACATGTAAATGTTTATAGGACACTATATATGGTTTTAGGACTAAAGTTGTTTTTCGCAGCAGTTTTTGGTCTTGACCACATGAACTGATGTTAGTTTATAAATCTGGACAGAATTAAACTTTGTTTCTCCAAAACATTACAAATAATTATTTACAACAAATAGATCATATTAGTTCATAAGCATTCCTCAGAACTCCTCTTCCAAAGATCCAGACAATCTACACTAAACTTGTATTGTGTTGCACAAACATTAATGAATATTCAACTTCTTTCTCAAATGAGTGAAAATATTCAAAATCTTCACAAACAGGTGTGRCAAGAAAAAAAGAAAATGTTTGGGATCCTTTTATCGGGATCAGGGCAGCTGTGGCGGAGTGATTAGGGGAGTTGCTCTGTAACTGGTGGGTTGCCGAGTTGATTCCCACTGTTACAGCTGTTTTTTTTTTCTCAGCTGTTCCTTTCTGYAAGGGTCACCACAGTGAGCAAACAAACTCACATAAAAGATTTGGTAACGGTTTTACACCAACATGACCAGGGCCCGTATTTATCAAGCCTCTTGGAATCACTCTTAAGAATGCGGCTAAGAGTGGACTTAAGTGTAAAAAAAAATTTAGTTAAAAGCTGAGACTAAAAGTCAGTTATCAAACATTTCAGTCTCACTTTAAGTGAAGTGTAGGAGTAATTCTTAAGTGTCAGTCTTTAAGTGAAGTGTAGGAGTAATTATTAAGTGTCAGTCTCACTTTAAGTGAAGTGTAGGAGTAATTCTTAAGTGTCAGTCTTAGAGCTGATTTCAACACCTGGCTGTGCCGCAAAGCTGATCCTGGATTATATCATTACAAAACACCCAGCATGGACCAATCACTGCCTTAGATTTCATGTTCAAGAGCATTCTCTGAGAAATGTCATGATAAAACTGTGAAAATCCTAAAATAAGTCCAAATTCGACACAATAATGTTCATGATGTCACATTGTACTGATTATCATAAATTACATACGATTTCCTCATTTACATCATAAATAAAGAACATCTTGTGGAATATTTCAAAAACTGCAGCTGGAATGATCTTTTGTTTTTACATCTCAGAGCCTGAGGAAATATTGATTTTGAAGCTTCCTCCTCTAATTCTCCCCCTTCCCTAAACTACCAGCAGACAACAGCCCCTTCTCACACACACACACACACACACACACACACACACACACACACACACACACAC